CTCTCGGAGGTTGAAGTAACCGCTGGAGGTTACGTGAAAGTCAAAGGTCAGCGACCTTTGACCTGACAGAAGCAGCGCGACAGCAAGGACACACAACTGACTCGATATTGAGCAGTTGCCCGAATCGCACTGTATCGAACCGCAACAGCCAACAGTAAAACAGTTATCATTCATATCTCTTCGTATTCCTTGTACTCTTATATAAACCTTTGTACTTGTTTGCTTTAATCAACTCACTTTGTTCTCACATACTAATGCAAGGTGGTTCAAAGTCTCATCATTAAACGCTTCCGCTACCACATCACTCTAACTAGAGATTTACCCTACCAAAGATCCTAAGGGGATTTTCAGCCCAACAAAATGCATGCATATATCGTGTTTCTACATCTTGTTTCAAACCTGTTCCCGCTCTTTTCACTTCAAATGTTTCTGCCTCCGTCGGTCTTGATCTAACGGCTGCTGGTGTCACTTCGACTCTTCTGACTCCTCCACCTCGTACTTAGTAGAGTCGGCTCCTGCAAAGTACACGAATGCCTTCTCACAAAGTTCACATCTCAACATCCCCTTCATTCCCGGACTTATCGGAGGCTGCCTCGCTTAACTACTCCGGTGAGGTTGGAGCAGTGCTGGTACGCTGATGTGGCAGTCGTTTGGTGAGGACCTCGATCGCCATCTCGGTGGTGGGACAGTACGTGAGGTCAACCTTGCCCTAGTCAATTTCGTCCTTGACCAAAAAGCATCGAATTGCGATGTGCTTTGTTCGGTTTACAAACCCCAGCTTGTTCGCGATCTTGATGGCGCTTTATGTTGAGAGAAGGAGTATTAGGGCCTAGGCTTAGTAGCCTAGGCCAGAAGGTCGAGAGAGTTGATGAGGAGAAAAGAGGGTTTTCACTATAGGCTCAAGGGTACAAATATGAAAGAAGAGAAGAAAGGTGCACCACCTAACAAGAAAGATAACTACACTAAGTCTACATTGCAGGTAGTTATAAAGTGATGTATACAATTACATTCTGACACACCCCCTAACTGCCTGCAGTGAAGAACCATGTGCAGAAACACCCCCGGAAGGGGTACACCAAGCAGAGCGCAGCAGACGGAGAGGGCAAGTGAAGAGGAGAGACTATATGAGGAGAAGCTGCTGGCAGGTGAAGCTGCTGGCTCCAAGGCGGCTGCTTCCTGGAACCTTCCCCAGTCCTCCAAATCCCCCTTCCACACTCCTCGACAACCCTAGCACCTCTCCCCCAGCTCCCCCACACCCTCACACCCACCCCCCCCCAGCAGCAGTTGCAGAAGTGGGAGAGAAAGGAGGAGGAGGGGAAGGGGATCACACACACCCATCACCCCCATACCCGCCACCCCCATAGCCTCCGTTCCACGGCTGCACGCGCAGCAGGGAGACGAAGAAAGGGGGGGGGGAAGAGCAGGGGCAGCACAGGCACGGGCAGGGCAGGGCAGCCATGCGTGCAGGGCAACAGCGAGGAGCAGAGCAGGGGCAGCAACAGGCGGCAACGGGCAGCACAAGCTCGGGCAGCAACGGTCGGCAATGGGCAGCACACACACGGGCAGCAACGGGCGGCGACAGGCAGCACAAGCACAGGCAGCAACGGGCGGCAACAAGCAGCACAGGCACGGGCAGCAACGGGCGGCAACGGGCAGCACAGGCACGGGCAGCAACGGGCGGCAACGGGCAGCACAGGCACGAGCAGCAACAGGCGGCAACGGGCAGCACAGGCACATGCAGCAACGGGCGGCAACAGGCAGCACAGGCACGGGCAGCAACGCGTGGCAACGGGCAGCACAAGCACGGGAAGCAACAGGCAGCAACGGGCAGCACAGGCACAGGCAGCAACGGGCGGCAACAGGCAGCACAGGCACGGGCAGCAAGGGGCGGCATCGGGCAGCACAGGCACGGGCAGCAACGGGCGGCAACGGGCAGCACAGGCACGGGTAGCAACGGGCGGCAACGGGCAGCACAGGCACGGGCAGCAACGGACGGCAACGGGCAGCAACGGACGGCAACGGGCAGCACAGGCACGGGCAGCAACGGGCGGCAACGGGCAGCACAGGCACGGGCAGCAACAGGCGGCAACGGGCAGCACAGGCACAGGCAGCAACGGGCGGCAACAGGCAGCACAGGCACGGGCAGCAACACACGGCAACTTGCAGCACAGGCACGGGCAGCAACAGGCAGCACAGGGAGGCAGCCGAACCAAGTCCAGGAGCGACGGCGCATGCAGCTGCAGGGTCGGCGCCGTGGGCTGCTGCTGGGGCGGCTCGCGGGGTCCCTGAGGCGGCATTGCGGGCTGCTGCAGGGTCGGAGCCGCGGGGTCCAGGGGCGGCTGCTGAGGTCCAGGGGCGGCTTCACCAGTGGCAACTGCTCCAGGGGCCAGGGGTGGGTGCTCTGGGTCCAGGGGCGGCTGCAACAGGGGCCGCTGCACCAGGGGCCAAGGGCGGCTGCGGAGGTCCAGGGGCGGATGATCCAGGGGCCAGGGGCGGCTGCTCTGGGTCCAAGGGCGGCTGCTCCAGGGGCGGCGGCGGCTGGTCCAGGGTCCAGGGGCGGCTGCTCCAGGGGCGGCGCTGGTGCATGGGAGGCCCGTGCGCGGCTGCAAAGCTGGCGCGAGCGCAGGTGAGGCAGAGGCGGTGGCCAGGGGGGAGGGGGCCGCGACGAGAAGGGAAGGCGCCCAAGAGGCGCCGCAACGAGCAAGGGCGACGCCCCAGGGGCGCCGCGACGAGCAGGGGCGGCGTCCAGGGGGCGCCGCGACGAGCAGTGGCGACGCCCCGCGGGTCCCGCAGGGGCGTCACGACGAGCAGGGCGACGCCGCGCGGGTCCTGCACGGGCATCGCAACGAGCAAGAGCGGCGACGCCCGGGTCCCGCAGGTGCGTCGCGACGAGCAGGAGCGGCGCCTCGAAGGGCGCCGTGAAGTGGAGGGTACGGGCGGGCAAATCAGGCCCGCGCGTGGACGTGAGGCAGGCGTGCAGGCGGCGTGAGGGCAAGCCGCGTACGGGGCACGAAGACGCCGCGCGCCCAGGGTGCCGGCGGGCAGAAAACCGCCGTGCGCCCCGAGCACACGGCGGGCAGAAAATTGCCGTGCGCCTACGCCGCGTGCCCGAGGCGCACGGCAGGACGATAGGAAGCGGAAGCAAATTGGTGGGCCCGTTAAGGAAGACAGCAGGAAGGTACCTGCTCTGAATACCATGTTGAGAGAAGGAGTATTAGGGCCTAGGCTTAGTAGCCTAGGCTTGAAGGTCGAGAGAGTTGATGAGGAGAAAAGAGGGTTTTCACTATATGCTCAAGGGTACAAATATGAAAGAAGAGAAGAAAGGTGCACCACCTAACAAGAAAGATAACTACACTAAGTCTACATTGCAGGCAGTTATAAAGTGATGTATACAATTACATTCTGACACTTTAGTTATCGCAGTGAGGACGAAAGGTGGGTGAAGTTGGAATTTTTTCCCCCTTCGCGAATTGCAGCAGTCCCTGCACTGTATTCTGCTTCGACTGATGACATGGAAACCATCTCCTGCTTCTGCGAGTTCTAGGAGATTAGGTCCATAGCCTCCAGGCGGAAGAGAAAGCCTTTTCATGATCGTCGATTGGCAGGGTCAGCGGCATGATCTGCGTCCATATACCCGGTGAGATTGAATGATGTCGTTGTCAGCGTAGACTAGGAGAGCCCGTTGGCAGGTGTAGAGACAAAGTACTGTAGGGCGCGCTCCAGTACCAGCTGGTTCTCTGCTACTGGCTCGCGTCGGTCAAGATATTGGGGTACTGCCAAATCAGCTCCGCGGTAGTATAGCTGCATACAGCTTCTCGGTGTCGATTGCCAACTCACGTAAGCAAACGGCAAATAGTTGCGCGCCTCGGTTGAAGTGGCGAGAAATAGTGATAGCTTTGACGCACAGGGCTTTGATGTAGGCAGGTATCCATGTAGGCAACGTAATTAGCCCCTCGTACTTGCTGATGCTGCACGATCCCGCTGTCCAATCGATGACGGGGTTGTGCCGTCGCGGCCAATCATGTTCCAGTAGCACGTCGCAGCCATCCAGCGTCGTCACGAGAAACTTCACGCTGAAGCCGAAACCGTCGCCGCATTTGATCCGCACCGTCCTTATTTCTTCCAAAATCGCCAGAGGTGTGACATCCACGAGGCGAGCGTCGATTTCGGGCAGACACCTTTCTAGTTGCATCTTGCATTTTTTTGCCGTCGTCAAGTTGAAGAGGCTATGGCTGGCCCCTCCGTCGACGAACATTTTCAAATAACTTTTTAACACTTTGCCGACGACTAGCATAGGGTGATCCAAGTGGTTATCCCTGATATTCGACCGAGTGCGATCAATTGCATGAATCAGAACCACGACTCGGTCGAGATAGTGGGGTTCGGGTGACGGAGCACAAGCACTAAGGGGGGCGTTGATTACTAACTCTTCCCATTTCCCTGCTCCTTCCGGTCGTCCCCCTTCACCGACGTTTTCTTGGGGCAGTCGCTCATGTAGTGACCCGTCGTCCCACACCGGTAACACATCCCTTAAAAGGGGCGGCCAGGTGTATGGACTACGTTGATTTTGGCCCATGGGGTCTAGCCACGACCACGGTTTCCCTCCCGGGAACTCGTTCTCGCATACTGCATCAGTGCGTCTGACTCTGCCAACTATACAGCTTCCAGGAACGAGGTATGTGAAAGGAAAACGAGGAACGGAATGCATTAGGAAAGAGGTGGGTACAAGTAGGAAACCCTAAAAGTGTTGTACCCTATATTGTCCACCCCACTACAGTCTACACAGACTATAGCATATAAGTTTGACACACCCCCATAGGCAAAGTGGGGGAGAACAAGGGGTCACAAGACCAGTCAAGCAAGGCAAGCTCAGGGTGGATCACAACGTCACCACACATTCCGAGCACAAGTTCAAGACCACAAGGCCAGTTCACATGCATGATTATATATGAAAGGAAACAAGCAAGTGCAGGTATAGACAGATCATAGAACAAGCAAGGTCAAGAGGTGAGCAAGTGAGGCCAAGTAGGCACAAGACCTAGCATCGTACAAAAACGCTGATGATCACAAGGCTGAAGTGCCTTGGTAAAGATATCAGCAGTGTTGGCCCTAGAGGCCACGTAAGCAAGGCGCAGCTGACCACGCTGCTGCAGCTCACGAGCGAGAAAGTAGCGAAGAGCAATGTGCTTCGTTCTGTGCTCCAGTCTGTGCTCCCGACACAAGGCCAGCATGGCCTTGTTGTCTACGTACAGGACTGGAGGAGAACGAGGCAGCTCTCCGAGGACAGTCAGCAGGTAGGTGAGCCAGCGTAACTCCTGTGCAGCCATGGCCCCTGCGTAGATCTCAGCCTCACAGCTAGAGCTGAGAATAGAAGACGAGCGGGTAGACCGCCACGAAACAGAGCCGGAACCAAGGCTGAAGGTGTAACCCTGTGACGACCGCTGCGTAGACAAGTCGTCAACCCAAGACGCGTCTGCGTGACCAAAGAGGACTACTGGACTCCGCCCTCCAAGCACGAGCCCCATGCCCGACGTACTGCACAAGTAGCGCAACGCCCTCTTTGCTGCAGCCATGTGCTCTGGTCGGTGTCTCCCAAGAGCAACATAGCGTGCCAAGATGCTAAGCAGGTATGCCAGGTCAGGTCGAGTGCAGGTCATCGGGTACATGAGGCAGCCAACAAGCTCTGGGTATGGGCCACTCGGCTCTACCGACTCATCCGAAGGCAGAGCTGAGAGCGAGTGGCGAGTAGACAGAGGAGTGGCCTGAGGCGAGGAGTACGTAAAGTTGAAGCGCTGAAGGACCTGCTGCACCATGCGTGACTGAGTCAGGGTAATGGTGCGGCGTGCTCTGTCCCGGGTGATCTGCAAGCAAGGTAGCTGCGTAGCTCACCCAGGTCTATGCACGTGTGTCTCTTCTGCAGCTCGGACTTCACGTAGGCGAGTCCAGCAGTGTCAGCTGTGGCAAAGACCAAGTCATCGACGTACACGAGGATGTAGAACGGCGGCAAAGAGGTGTCGGTGCGTAGAAACAGCGACGGGTCGGCAGTAGTAGGAGCAAACCCAAGAGCCGCAAGTGTAGTCCTCATTGTGTCGTGCCACTCACGGGGCGCCTGGCGGAGACCGTAGACTGGCCGCCAGAGGCTCCACTAGGTACGAGGAGGAAACGACCCAGTGAAGCCAGGTGGGCGGTGCTGCCAGATCTCCTCGTGCAGGCTGCCCTGTAGGAAAGCAGTGCTGAAGTCAAGAGAGTGAAGCTCGTAGTCGCGGTGAGCGGCTTTGTGCAGTAGCACCCGAAGATTGGTCATCCTCGGGGTGGGAGAGAAGGTCTGAAAGTAGTCAACTCCCTGCCGCCGACTGAAGCCTCGAGCCACGTATCGTGCCTTGAAGACAGGCGGAGAACTCGGCGGCCGCTTCACCCTGAAGATCCACATGCCACTGACGATGTTCGCCCCAGGTGGGGGAACCTCGTCGACGTAGGTGCCTGTGGACTTCCAGGAAGCCATCTCTGCGTCCATGGCTGCGTGCCACTGAGAGGAGTAGGGACCCTCTTTCGCCTCTGCATAAGAGCGCGGAGTGGGTATGTCTGGTGCATCCGGGTCTCCCTCAGGGGCAAGCAGCATGGACACGAGATGAGGTAAAGCAGCAGCAATGCACTGGAACTCCTCCTGCCTGTCCTCAAGGATGTCCGTGCCAAAAGCACACTCACCCCCGACGGATGGAGGACAGACAGACTCAGACTCAGCACCAAGACTAGCGGCGTAGTCTAGACGACAGTGAGCAGCGAAGTCGAAAAGCTCAGCAACTAAGGCAGACGCAGCAGTGGACTCAAAGGAAGGGCCAGTGACAACAGTAGCAAGGAGACGCGTGACAGTAGGACTGGCAGCACGAAGAGAGTCCGACTCCAGGTCAGCAAGAGCAGGAAGGGAAAACTCGGGAGGAGATGGCAAAGGGACACGCTGCCGAGCAGTGGAAGGACGCAGAGACATCCGGTGCGTGCCGGGGACAGGGGGAGGACGCTGACGCGAACCACGGCCACTGGTGCGAGCAGCACGGAAAGGCAACGCAGGACGAGACGCAGGCTCACGATGCTCAACAAGACCTCCAGTAGGACCAGTGTAGGGAAAAGGAGCAGGCAGTGGGAAGGCGGGCTGTAACTGTGAATCGGACTGGACAGGCGGTGGACACTCTAAGGGAGGAGAAGGACCACTAGAGGGCGGAAGACCAAGAACCTGCTCAAGGAGCGGAACGAAGTACGGCCGTGGCTGCGCAGCGCCCCCAGAACCAGCTGGAACAGCACCAGCACCCCCAACGGCAGCACCAGCTCCAGTAGCACCCCCAGCTCCAGCAGCGCCAACACAAGCACCCCTTGAATCACCAGCACTAGCAGCACCTCCAACGCAAACACCCCCAGCAGCTCCAGCTCCAGCCGAACCACTAGAAGACGCAGCAGCTCCAGCTCCAGCACCTCCACCAGCACCAACTCCAGCAGCACAGCCAGCTCCAGTACCTCCAGGAGCTCCAGCACAAGGAGCACCCCAAGGCCCAGCAGCTCCAGTACCTCCAGTACGAGCACCTCCGGGACCCGTGGCACCAGCACCCTCAGCAGCAGTAGAACCTCCAACACCAGCAGCACCTCCAGATCTAGTAGTACGGCTCCAGCGCCGAGCAAACCACTCGCGCAGCTCCCGTGGAGAGAGTAGCTCCCGCTGGGACGAAGCACCTGAAGGACCTCCAGACCCAGTACCGCCAGACCCCACACGAGCAGGCCCAGCACCCTCAGGCTCCGCACCCCTAGTGTCAGCACCCCTAGGCTCAACACCCTCAGGCTCAGCACCCCCAGGCTCAGCACCCCCAGACCCCGCACCCGCAGGCTCAGCACCCCCAGCAGCACCAGAGTCAACAGCTACCTCGACAGGCTCGAGTGCGTCTACCTGGGACACACCTGAGGGGGCAGGACCCTAAGGGGGAAGGGGGTCTACTAGGGGGGGTACCTGACGCGAGGAAGAGCAGCGGCGGGGGTAGGGGTGCAGTGCGGTAGGGGAAGAGACGGTAGTAGGGAACCGACTCGTCAAACGTGATATCCTGGGAGGACAGAACACGGCGCGAGGTGGGGTGGTAAAACTGCCAACCAGGCGCGTCAAGGGGGAAGCCAAGGAAGACACAGGGAACAGCACAGGGGGATAGCTTGTCCGCAGACAAGTCGCGAACAAACGCCCGAGATCCCCAGACCCGGAACGCAGACGCATCGCCAACCTTCCCCTTCCACCGCAGAGCAGGGGAGGTCTTCGGCATGGAGACCTGGGGATGAAGGTTGATCTGATGCGCCGCGTACTGAACCGCGAACGACCACAGAAAATGGGGAGCAGCCGCATGGATCATAGACGTATGAGCGACATCCATGACCATGCCAATGCGGCGCTCACTGATCCCATTTTCCTGTGGAAAGGCCGGAAGCGTGAACGTCTGGCGGATGCCTTGTGCACGACAGAAGGCTCGCAGAAGGGTAGAGGAGAACTCTCCACCTCTGTCAAAGTGCAGACGCAGAACAAGAAAGTCCGAGCCGAAACTCTCTATGAGCTGGAGACAAGCTGCGCGGATCCAGTCGATCAAAACCTTAGTGATCTCACCCTTGCTGCGCAAGGGGAAGAATGTGGTGTAACTGACAAAATTAGAAGAAAGAAAGAGGAGTTGACTAGCAAGAATGGGGATACAAATAGCAAACCCTAACAGGGTTGTACTCGCTATAGAGCACCCCACTACAGGCTAGATAAGAACATTCTGACACACCCCCATAGCCAAAGTGGGGTGCAATCAGCAGAGCAAGCATAGCAGTACAAGCTCAGGGTGGATCACAATGTCACCACACATTCTGAGCACAAGTTCAAGAAGCATTAGTTTAAAGTTAAAAATTATGAGCAAAGCTAGAGGCTATCGCAGAGGGCAAGTGAGGAGGAGGAGGCGAGAGTGAGAGGAAAGGAGATAGGAGGCGACGGATGAAGCTGTAGACACACGGGCAACAGGAGGCAGACTGGCACAGCGGCTACCGGACGAAGCCCCAGGACTACAGGGGTAACTGGCCCCGCGGCTAAAGTAGCGGCAGACGAGCAACGGACCCACGGGCGGCTGGCACAGCTGGCTACGACTGAGCTACCGGACGAAGCCCCCGGACTACAGGTGCTGCTAGCGACACAGCGGCATCCTTCATTCAGCTCCCCAAATAGTCTCACCCCCCCTTGCACACACCCCCTACTGCACCCCTAGGGTCACTCACACCCCACCCCCTAGCACGACTCCAGCGACTCCCACACACCCACCCCCCTCAGCGGCAGCTGCAGTAGTGGGAGACAGAGGAGGAGGAGGAGCAGGGGAGACCACACACCCGCCACCCCCATACTCGCCACCCCCTACTCGCCACTCCCCAAACCCTAACTCAGGTAGGGCGGGATGGCGGGTAGGGAGGTTACGGGGGAGGGAGAGGGGGGGGGGGGGGGGGGGGGGGGGGGGGGGGGGGGAACCGACGCGCGGCCGCCCAGGGCGCCAAGACAGGCAGCAGAAGGGGGGGCGGCACTCGCCCCCCTCCCCCAGGTAAGTCCTCCCGTCGCCTGTCGAGGCGACCCTTGGGGGCCACTTGCACCCCCCGAGGGAGCCGCGACGGGAGACGGGAAAAGGGGGGGGGGGGGGGGGGGGGGGGGGGGGGGCGCAGGCGGGGCCGGGGCCGGGACTAGCGGCGCACGGGCGGTGTGGGGCCGGGACAGCGGCGCACGGGCGGCGACGGGCCGGAGCAGCTGCGCGGGGCCGGGACGGGCGGCGCACAGGTGGTGACGGGCCGGGGCAGCGGCGCACGGGCGTCGACGAGCCGGCGCTGGCGGCGCACGGGCGTCGACAGGCTGGCGCGCGGGTCCCCGTCGCCCGTCGCAGCGCCTCCCGAGGGCGACGCACCGAGCGACGAGCCAGAAGCCCGCCGCGCGCCTCGGGGCGCACAGCGGGCAGAGAACCGCCGCGCGCCTCGGGGCGCACGGCGGGCAGAATACCGCCGCGCGCCTCGGGGCGCACGGCGGGAAGAAAAACTGCCGCACGCCACGGGGCGTGCGGCACAGAGACTAGCAGTAGAAGTTGCACCGGAAGCAACGAGGTGGTGGTGACCCACCCACAGGATCGATCCATGGGGATCGACCTGCTCTGATAGCATGACAAAATTAGAAGAAAGAAAGAGGAGTTGACTAGCAAGAATGGGGATACAAATAGCAAACCCTAACAGGGTTGTACTCGCTATAGAGCACCCCACTACAGGCTAGATAAGAACATTCTGACAGTAACGCGAGTAGTCGTCAACCACCAGCAGGAAGTAACGCTCGTGACACTGTCCACGGACGCGGGCTGGGCACACACGTCCATGTGAAGCGTCTGCAGCGGAGCCTCTGTCGGAGGAAACTCGGAGTGAGGAGTGGTGCGCTGCCGCCCCTCGACGCAAGAAGCGCAGGTTGGGGCAGGCCCCGGAGGAAGGGGAGGGAGGGACCAGGGGAGACCAGAGACAAGGACACGGGAGGCCATGCCTCGGAGACGAGGCAGGGAGGGGTGACCAAGGCGGTGGTGCCAGAGGAGAGTCTGGTGAGACAGGAGACGACATGAGCAGGGGGCAGACTCAGGACCAGACCTGGACGCTCCAGCAAACACCTGACCCGACGCAGCTACCTGACCAGACTCAGCGACCGGAGGAGACTCAGTAGTCAGTGTGTATAGGCTCGACCCCGGCTGATGGGTAAACGTGGCCAAGTGTCGGCCCGTCCGAGCACACGTACAGTGGGTCACTCGCTGACTCGCAGGAGTGAACTAGTGAACCCCTCCATCCTAGAGGTCAGCACCACTCACCAAGTTCGTAGAGAACGAGGGGATGTAAAGACCTGACAGGGTGCCAGAGGGGGCCGCCGAACACGGTAAGACAGTGGAGAAGTGGGCAAGGACAGGACCCCTAGAGGGGTCTGCCAGGGAGACCGCCACTGGCCGACTAAGCGGCGTGAGCGTGGTGCGGTCTCGAAAGAAGGAGCGGGAAGCACCCGTGCCAAGGGTGAAGGTGTGGAAGGCCTGAGCCGGCGTGGTACCTGAGAGAGCAGACTCACCAGCACCTGGGGCAGCAGACGCACTTGTTCCTGGAGGAGCAGCCTCACCAGCACCTAGAGGAGCAGCCTCAATGCCCGGGTCAGGCGGGACACACAGGTAACAGTCACCCTCATCACTAGTAGACACAGCATACATGGCAGCAAGAATAGCATCATAATCAAGATCAAAGATAGCAACCCCCGACCTAAACAGCTCGCCCCAGCGAGGGATTTCTGTGGCATCCGGGAACTGGAGACGCCAGGCGTACGTCAAACGGCCGAAGCAGCGCTGGGTGGAGTGCGGGCCCCCGCACTGCTCACCAGTGCGGTCGCCAGTACGTAGGACGTAAGTACAGGGACCAGCACCCCCACCCTGCTGACGCGCAGCGTACCACTCACGAAGCTGCTGTGGGGGCGGGGTCTCACGAGCGCGCTGCTGCTGCAGGCACTAACCACCACTGGAGCCGCCCCTCTGTGCAGAGCCACCCCGACCAACTCCACCGCTGCCGCCGCCACCTCCGCCACCGCCGCCACCGCCACCTCCTCCGCTCCCACCGCCACCGCCGTCGCCGCCTCCGCCTCCACCGCCGCCACCGACGCCCCCACCCCCGCCACCACTCCCACCACCACCCCCATCCCCTCCACCGCCTCCTCCGCCACCTCTACCGCCCCCGCCAGCTCCTCCAGCGCCCTTGCCCCCCTTGCCCTTGCCGGTGCGGCGTCTCCCGCTAGGGGCAGACGCAGCGCCGACCGACTCGAGGCCAACGAGGTCGGCCGCAGCAGCAGACGCAACAGAGGGTAAGAGGGGGGAGGGGGAACATGTCAGAATATGTTTTTTGTGTAGCCTGCAGTGGGGCACTCAATAGTGAGTACAGCCCCTTAGGGTTTGCTATTTGTATCCTGCTGCTTGCTAGTTCAATCACCTCTTCTCAATTCTATTCATGCACACGTTCCTAGCTTGTACTTGGCGCCTCCTCGTTCTAGTCCTACTGTGGCCTAGGCTACTAAGCCTAGGCCGTACTCCTCCTATATTTGACATGGTATCAGAGGGCGGCATGTCTGCGGCCTTCCTGTGTATGGGCCCACCACCCGCTTCCGCTGCCGCAGTGTCCGCCGCGCGCCCCGTGGTGCGCGGCGGCGAAACCCTAATTTCTGCCCGTCGCGCGCTCAGGGCGCCTGGCGGTTTTCCCTTCCGTGGCGCCCGTCGTGGTGCCCTTGGGGGGGCCTCCGCGGTCCCCTCCCGTTGAAGCGTCCATCGAGGCGCTCTCGGGGAACCGCGCGGCCTCCCCTCCCGTCGCCCGTCGAGGCGACCTCGGGGACCCGCGCGGCCTCCCCTCCCGTCGCCCGTCGAGGCGACCTTGGGGGCCCGCGCGGCCTCCCCACCAGTCGCCCGTCGTGGCGACCACGAGGGCCGCGCGCGGTCCCCTCCCGTCGCCCGTCAAGGCGACTTTGGGGGGCCCGCGCGGCGCCCTTCCCGTCGCCCGTCGAGGCGGCTCTGGGGGCCCGTCGCGGCGCCCTCCCTGGTGCCCGTCGCGGCGCCTAAGGGGGGGGCTGCGCGGCTCCCTTCTCGTCACCGCTCGGGGCGCCCTGGGGGCCGTGCGTTTCCTCCCCCCCCCCCCCCCCCCCCCCTCCCTCCTCCTACCTTTCACCTGCAGCGGCCGCCCTTGGAGCCGCCTGCCACTGCAGCAGCCGCCCCTGGAGCAGCCCGCATTTGCAGCAGCCGCCCCTGGAGCAGCCCGCACCTGCAGCAGCCGCCCCTGGAGCAGCCCGTGCCTGCAGCACCCGCCCCTGGAGCAGCCCGTGCCTGCAGCAGCCGCCCCAGGACCCGCGCGAGCCGCCCCTGCGGAAGCCCGTCCCGTCCCCCCCCGACACCCCCCCCCCCCCGTGCTGCCCATTGCTCCCATTCCGCCGTGCATTCCGCGGTGGTGGGGGTGTGGGGTGGCAAGCATGGGGGTGAGAGGTGTGGGTTCTCCCCTCCTCCTTTTTCGTCTCCCACTGCTGCAGCTGCCGCTGAGGGGGGTGGAGGTGTGGGAGCTGTGGGGAGTGGAGCTAGGGGGGTGATGTGGGAGTGGAGCTAGGGGTGAAACTGGGGGTGTGTGTAGGGGGGTCTGGGACAGTTGGGGGAGGTTGAGTGGAGGCAGCCGTCTTGTCGTCCGCAGCACCTGTAGTCCGGGGCGCTGTCCTGGTAGCCCAGAGAGCCTGCTGCGCCTGTCGCCCGTGGGTCCGTTGCTCCTGTAGCTCCTCGTAGCCCGTGAGCCAGTTACTCCAGTAGTATGGGGCGCTGTCCCGGTAGCCACTGTGCCAGCCGCT